TGCAGATGAATATCGTGAATATCCCTCGCTTGTCTTCGTCAGATAACTGGAGGCAATAGATAATAATAACTCCTATCATTGTTGCCTCTGTACACATGACTGTATATGTTTTTGTGTCCATACTGCCGATTCACAGCTTGACCTCGGATTCATCTAGATAACTTTAATTGTGTGAATTAGCAATGCACAGTTTTGCAGACTGAAAAGTTGAACCGGAAATGCAGCAAGATTTCCGTTTCGTCAAGCTACGAGGAAGACGAGGTCAACGACTCCGAAGACGAAACGGACGATGCAGAGGGAGGCGACCACTATGGTAAATACCCAGCGACTTTTTGCCGTCTTCACAGTGCAACTGAAGCGTTTGATAACAGCAAACTTTTTCATGCACGTTTTTCTTTGCCTACAGAGTACTTCAAGAATGACGGACAGCCCTTGGTCGGCCGAAGCCCGCATGCTGCAGAGGAGAGTTCAAACGCACAAATGCTCAAAAGCACGTCTGAAAGCGACCTGCACGGTTCTGGAGCCATCGACGAGACGAAGCCAAAGCGAAAGCTGCTTACATCGCCGGTAGCTGCAGAACTCAGTGATATTGTCATCTACTGCCAAGCAGTGAAATTCAGTTTGTCGATGTTGTCCTCCATGCATGACGACCTCCGCTACAGGACAACGGTGGGGCCATGTTCCAGGACACAGCCAGGTTTGTGTCCTATCATTTATACTGATGGCCAGCAAAATACGAAGATCTAAAATTAAGATGCGTTTTGAATTCTTTTGTTGTATGCGATTAAGTAATTGTTTTCTTTATTTTTTTTTTAATTCTTGATTCATGATTTTTTATGAATGAAAATTCTGTCTAGTTAATGGCCTCTGTTCTGATAGTGGCTTCGATTAATGTATTGGTAGTTATATCAGGGAGGTGAAGTAGCAAGTGTCTTAGCTGCTTTCGGTGCATATTCATACCACTGTACGTTGGACCGATTGAAACATGGCGGAGCTGCAACAGGTGACCTACCAGTCGCAGGTGAAATCTCATCATATCACAAAAAAATCATGCCATCGGATTTGAGACTAATCTATTGATGATGGATTCAAACTTCCCTCCAGGGTCACGTTCCTAGCGCACAAATTCGACATCTAACTGGAATTAGGGACGGGGTTTTCCTTTTAGCATTTTGCGATGTTACCAGAAAATAAGCCGGCCTTGTGGCTCACCTGAGCGTCAAGAGGTTAAATCAAAAAATATGAAATTGAATATGAAAAATCAAAAATTGCCTTTCGGTAGACAGGAAACTCTCACTCGATCGGTTAATAACACACAGGGTCTGTCCAATTATCAAATTGCTTCGCCAGCGATGGAGGTAGAGAAAAGAGAGCAAAGCACCCGAGTTAACAGTTAACTTGCATTCATGGCGGATCAACAACGAAAAAATATAGAGAGTGGATAATGCTGTCAAAGAGAAAATAATACAACATGTAATATGCATGTGTAATATATGAATATGCATATGTCCTAAAAACATGCAAGCACAACCTGTAATATACTAAATAAAATGTATTAAAGTATACTGAATTCTGCATGCTGGAAACAAGTTCTTGATCAATATAATTTTCAAGGGCCTTATACCCGCATTAATCATTTCCAAGTATATCCCAGTTATGAATCGAGCTGGATCCATCTTCTAATACAAATTTCTTCGTATTCGGTGCTAAACGTTGTCGTCTAGAA